TCTATTATTGCAGGATCCTAATGATAATATTGTGTCTTCATACTCTCACTCAATGTTAGAGCCACACCCTCTAGTTATTCCTATATTGGAGGAAGCTGGCTTTGGGGGAGTGGCAAGATTAAGGCATCTAAAATTTTACTACGGTCTAGTCACAATTTTACCCATAGGTGAATGTAATATCACATTAGAAGATGTTGCACTACAACTTGGGCTACGAGTGGATGGCCATCCGATCATTGGACCCACAATGTTCGACTGGGAAGAGATGTGTGACATGTACTTGGGAATCGTACCAAGGAAGGGTGAAACCCTCGTTGGAGGAATGGTTAAACTAAAGTGACTATGAGATAACATGTTGCCACTACCAGAGGAACCATCAGAGGACCAACTGCATGCCCATGCTAGGGCATATATATTAGGGTTAATTGGAGGTGTTTTAATGCCTGACAAATAGGTAACAAAGTATACCTTATGTATTTATAGTTATTGACTAATTTACATAGAACCAAACGATATAGTTAGGGTTCGCGTGTTTAGCTATTTTGTACAGGGAAATGTGTAAAACAACCGGTGTCAAGACAAAAACAATGGGAGGTTGTGATTCACTATTACAATCATGAGCATGACATCACATGCCACATATTGCACCAATTAGTCGTTTACAACCAACGTATCCATTAATGTGTAAATGGAGTGGGGGTAGGGTTTTAAACTTTCAGAACGTACCACACAATGATCTGGTTAGGTACCGAGTAAGAATTGATCATATTCAACCTCATCAGGTAAACTCAGTTAACACTTTTATTGTTAAATATATGTTCTAAATTAATTTTACTAACTACTTACTCATAACTTTGTTGTAGTTTTTGTGGACACCATATCGAGGGTTAGAAACTTCAAGAGTACCGACACAAACATAGCAGGATTCACATTTGTGGACATCTTGCACAACCATAATTTGTTTTGTAGTTGTGAGGTGACATCAGTCTGATCAAGTCAAGTTTCAATTTGGTTTATTTCAGGAAGTCCCTTCTCCACCGCAAAATCTAGCAAACCTCCACAAAATTGACATGCAAGGGAGACTTGATGAAAATTGAAAAATAATGCATGCTGAATTGATCAATATATGGAACAACAGACGAGACCTTGTATTACCAAGTCTACCATTGCAAGGGTCTTTCTATCACACAAGAGAATACATGGAATGATACACTGCTAATTCCATTTATTTATTGTCTGTGTCATAATTACTTCAAGATCCAAGAAACCAACAATATGCACATAACCAATCACGCACATTTGAAACTGGCTCATCCACTACATCGTCATTTCATATGCCTTTACACCAACCGTTCACAAGTACTTCCTACTAAACACCTCCACCACAATTGTCAATGGATCTTACTCGACTTTCTTTTGCTTCAAGTTCAGATGATTTTTTCTCAAATTTATTTGGCGAAATCCTATAACACCATCATCTACCCAAGATTATATGCAGTGGCGGATCTTCTTGGGAGCTGAGGGGGGCCGTGGCCCCCCCAAAATTTTGTAACTCCCATGTAATTTATGATTTTGGTCCCCCCAAACATAATGAGCATTTAATATATTTACTTGTATATTTACAATTTTATCCTCCCAGCCCCTTCTCAGTTTTGTAACTCTCATATAATTTATCATTTTGTTTTCCTCAAACTTAATGATCATTTAATATATTTAAGTATATATCTACAATTTTATCTTTTAAACCTTTCATATTCTTTCTTCCTTTTATATTTATTTATTATTTATTAATAATATATTATTTGGCCCCCTAATATTAATGGACAAGATCCGTCACTCGATTATATGCTATCAATCTACCCACCACAATATCATCATGAAGGAGCTAGTTCCTCTATCTTCCTTCCCCATGAACCACCTGAACAACAACTACCGCAAGAAAGATCACTCGAAGAAGAATATCAAAGAAGAAATCCACGACGTAATAGACGACGTCCTTGTTGTGGAACTGGTCACCATTACGGAGACTAGTTTAACTTTTCTATAAAATTTTGTGTAATGCATAATAATTGTACTATTTTAACTTTTTTGTAATATATTTTAAGTGTACTATATTTCTATAATATATTTATCAAATTCTTAAAATATAACAAAATTAACTAAATTTCAAATAACAAGAGAAATTATTAAATGTTATTTTATAAAATATTTATATATAATTATTTAATATTAAAATTTAAACACGAGAAAACTCCTCCGTACCACACACTAAGACACGTTGTCCAATATCTCAGCAAAAACTAAAACTAATGGTCAAGATTATATACCAAAACATCAACAATCAAGATGTGATCAACACTGTCTAAAACTAACCTAGGGATGCATGGAATATTGTTCAAGATAAGACTCTTCTATATTCCACACTAATGCACACTGCCCAATATTTACATTATCCAAAATCAACATCGAAATATTGTTCAGGATAAGATTCCTCTGTACCATATACTATTCAAGGTGTCAACAAAAAGTAATGATTAAAATTTAATCCCCACATATCAACGATTAACATTTAACACACATTGTCCATATGTACACTGTCTAAGACCAACATCGAAATACTATTCAGGATAAAATTCTTTTGTACCATATATTGTTCAATATGTTAGCAAAAAGTAATGGTCAAAATTGAATCCCCAAAGATCAATGATCCATTTTAATACATATTGTCTAATGTCAAAGTCAAGTCACCATTACACTATCTAAGACCCAGCTCAAAATACAAAGTACAATAATTTATTGTGAGACATTTTCGTCTACAGAATACAGTAAATGACATATAAATTCAAGTTTGGTCTCAAAAAATTCGCTCACTCATCTTGCCTATCAACACTCATATCCAATCTTTGTATTATTCTTCTTTTTACTCTTCAAATGGAGGAATTTGACATCACAAATATTCAAAATTTTGATAATTCTTATCTTACAGCAGTGTTTGCAAATGGGAAAATCACAACAAATAAGGAAGGGTATACTTTCAATGTGCATCTCCTAAACTTTTTTTAATTCTACACAGTTGCACACATGATTACATGGAAGTCACAATTATCTTTAGATGCTATTATTGAATTATATGTTCAATATACAATATGCATTGATGAAATAATTATGCTTTTAAACCCCCATGTTTCTACCTCTTTTGCAAACTTAAACAACATCCCTTCCTTTGAAGTTATAATTTACTTTGGTAGGCTTGTTCAACGTGCAACCATAATGGAAAATCAAAATGGTTTTGGTCTTACTTATACATGTTTAAACCCTAAAATAATGGTAATTCAACATACATGGTCTTTTTCTCAAATATATGAAAATATTACTCAACTACTTCACTATGGAGATTGCAAACAAATTACAAAAATCAACTACTGTCATGCAATTTGGGTGCGAAACCAGAAGATCATTCATGAGTTAGGACAGATAAAAATCATGCTGATATGGCCCCAATGATCAACCGCTGGAAAAAAAAATACAATCTCTACACCCAACTCTGCAACGTGAACAAACATGAGGAAAACTTGAATTATTTGTTCAAGCTAAGACTATACAAAGGGTAACATCTGACGAAATTATTCATGACTTAAAAAATAATACATATGTTGATAAATACGAGATAACAAGATCTACATTTACTTCGCAATTTATAATATGATTATTCAATTATCATTTATCTTATATTATTTCTAATTTAGTTAGGTTTCATATTAACATGTATTGTTTAAATTATATACCATTATTCTATGATCTTTTAATATTTTATATCATCAGTATAAATATATATATAAATACAAAAATATAAATATATAAACATATATTAATTATATATAAAAATATATGACTATATACTTATAAAATCTATACAAAATATATATATATATATATATATATATATCTTTATTAAATATACAAATACATAAATACATGTATTTATTAAATATCTTATATACATACAATATATATATATATATATATATATATATATATATATATACAAATATATATTATATAAATCCATATTATATTAAATCTATAATCTTGTAATTTATTTAAATTTTTTAATTTTTTACATCAAAATTATATTAAATAAATTATTATTCATATAATATCTTATATAAATTTATTTTTTATTTATTACTCCTATAAATTATCATTTTTATCTTCAACTAATTTATATTAAATAAAATTTAAATATTATATTATATATAAAATATATTTGTATTTATTATATTTATAAAAATATATTAAACATATAATTATATAAATTTATTTTTATGATATAATTATAATATATATATATATATATATAAAAGTATATATAAATATATAATTATACAATATATTTTTATTATATATAAAAGTATATATTTATATTTATTATATATTGTATTTCATAAAGTTATAATGTATATAACAAAATTTAAATATGTATTTATCATATTTATAAAAATATATATAAATATAATAAAAATATTTATATATAATTTTATATTAAAATTAATTTATATTAAAAATATATTTAAATATTATATATAATTTATTTGTATAAAAATGTTATCTAGAAAGATATAAATATATATATATATATATATATATATATATTAAATTTTATTATATTTATAAAAATATAAATAAATATTTAAATATTATTATATATATATATATATATAGTAAATATATTTGTATTTAGTATATAAAATATTTTAATAATATAATTATATAAATATATTTTTATGTTATATAAAAAATTATATTTATATTTATTTCATATATATATACATATATTTACATTTTATTTATATTTAACAAATTTTATTATATTTTAAAAAATTCTATTAATTTTCAAAGTCGGAGAATACAGTTTGCTATCACGCATATTTAGTACACTTGACTTCTAGATTTGAAAATGAAACGATAAATTTAGTACATGACTAAAATAATTAACAAATTCAAGCATCACCCTCTAATCGACATGTGAATAACTATTATACACCTCAGTGTTTTTGTATATAGAAAAAAAAAAAAAAGGAAAAAAAAAGACTTCTGATCTCTCTCACTGGCGGTGGAGAAAAGAAAATAAATTGTCACAAAACTGCATCCCCATAGGAGGAAGTCAATCTGAACCAAAGCTTCATTCCCAATCAATTTACACTTCTGAATTGCTTGACTGGCGATAACAGAATTCAACGCTACCCATCATTTTATTCAGATAGAGGAAAATAAATGGGTTGGCCACTTCGGGTATGCACGTTTGAATAAATTCATACATACAGTATCACGCTGTTCAAGAACCCCGTTGAGAAGGCACTTCATTGTTCCTGCGCAACAATTGATAGATTATCATCAAGATATCCTTATAAACTACTAATGTACTTCCTATAAAGCAATAAAAATATTTTCGAAATAAAGTTGCAGAAAACAGCTCAAAACAAAAGGTCACGGAGATTCATGGAATGCACAAAAACATCTTTGACCAGGCAACATATAATCTGTACATTCTCCCTTAAATCATTAACAGTCAGAGTGTTGATATAGTAAGATTGATGGTAAAGATTTCAACATAACTAACATACCATGGGTACCAACTGGTTCTTTAATTCGCCCACGGAGGCCACGCTTGGTATATAGTTCGACAGGCTGCAATCACCAACCACATTAAAAAGACTAATTAGGGAAACGTGGAGACCAATTTTAAGGGAGTCAACCTCATTACTGTCCAAGTAAAATTTAAAGAATCCAGATGCTAGGTTCACCTTAAACCATTTAACATCCTCTGGATTATAAAACATGTGTCTCACAGAAGCTTTACGTTTCGACACTCTTTGGGGGTAACTGCACCACAAAATGTTTAAAATCTTAAATTAAGAAAACATGAACTCAACCATCAATTTTCAAAAAAGATTATGCTACTACCCTAGAATTTCTACCATAATCGGTATTGCAAAGATATAAACAAAAACGACCATAAAATCAACAGGCAATATACAAGGTTTTTATGAGGGAAGTCAAGACAAATCTATCTATCTATCTATATATATATATATATATATATATATATATATATATATATATATATATATATATATATTATATATATATATATATATATATATATATATATATATATATATATATATATATATATCCATACCCTGTCAAAATAACTCGTTTAAGGATTATCCTATCTGGATCAACAGTTTTCAGTGAGCCAACAGCAGCCACCGCAGGTTCAACATTCTCTCCAGATTTCTTTAGTATTATTGCAGGAAGAGGAGGAAAAGAAATTGGTGCATATATTGAAGCAACTGAAAAACGCCCAGCATGGAGAAACCTCTCCATCTTGTTCTTGTCAGTATTTATGAACTCACTAGAGAAAACTGGTCTGCAAAAAAGTTGCAATTCCCAAATTATTTTACACTGACGAGCTCTACTATATACAAAAAAGTCCTTAAAATTGAAGACCATACCTGCCAACAAATTGCCTAAAACCAACATGAAAAATTAATTCTTCCTTGGATTTGATGGGTGCCTCATATGTTTCATGTTTCTTCACACTACACAGCGAAGGTCACTTTAGTTCGTGAAATCTTTTAAATGTTCAGAATGGACTACAGCTTGTAATAAGGGCACTTAAACACACAGACAACGAAATTAGTAAAATAATAAAGTGCAAAAGCACCTGAAATGAAGGACAGATACTTTGGACTCGTGTTTCAACAGGCCACATGCTGTAATCGGGATTGTATTTGAAAGCAAACATAACTTTGAAGCAACAGCACTGGGGACTCCAGTGATTTGCAACCTGGCGTATGAGCCAACTGGAATACAGTGCTCCCAATTTTCTTGATCCAATTCTAAAGCTTTAGCAAGAACATGTTTTTGTGTTCTTTTAAAATTATCAAATTCAAAAATTTTGGCATAATCTTGGGGTAGAGATTCCTGATAATATTAGAAATGTCAGATTTTTTATTTGGGAGGTTAGAGACAGTGACTATAAAGAATCTCCAAAAGACACATACTTTAGGATCCCATGAAGAAGTCCTGAAGGACTTGAGTCCCCTGTATTTTGCAAACCGCTTCCTAGCAGGAACATCCAATGGTGTATCCACTTCATCCGGAAATTCTACAACAAGAAAAGTAAAATATTAGTAATAGTATCAGTAATACAACTGCAAATAATCCATATTCTGTCATCTTTAGAAAATTTCTCATTCAAAATAGATAGGAACAAGAAAGTAGAAATTACAGAAAAACTAATTTAGATAAAATATTAGATGCAGGCAGCGCAAAAATTCATGTCTTCTTTAAAAGAAGCAGATATGAGCATAAAAAGGAAATAAATGCACCTTCATCTGCAGCATGTGCTTCTTTAAGTTCCTTGAGTTCGTCTTGTATCTTTTCTTTGGTAAAGTTATCTACTTCCTGTAATACAACGGAAAAGAAATCATTCATTGATATTATAGACTAAAATCCATTGACAGCATGGGGGGAGGGGACCAGAGAATGAGATCCACATGTAACAAACGTGTATTTAATACAAACTCACCATCATCACTGAATCATTGTCAGTTTCTTCCTCAGAATCTCCAAATCCAATAGATGCATCATCGCCATCAAATTCTGAATACTTATTTTCCTCTTGACCAGGATATTCACCTTCCCCCACCATACCATCATCATTTTTATCATCACAATCAGACTCCTCATCAGAATCATCGACAATCCAAGCAGCCTAAAAAATTGAGCATCAAGATAAAAGTCAGATATCTATCATTTCTATGCTGAAACCAAAATTTTCGTAAGCCCCCCCCCCCCCAAAAAAAAAAAACATAATACATAAACAGAAACAGCAAAAGATAAGAAATAAATGAAAAAAATTCAGACCTGATATTCTGAGGTGCCACGGGGAAGACTCCTCTTTCTTATCATCTTTTTTTTTTGGTCTTCATCAGCCTTAGCCATTTCAGCCTCAGTTGGCCACGTCTGGTAACAAGGAATGATATCATACCCAAATGAAGAAATAAAATAACACAATATATTCAAATAATGCACCCAATTTTGAACTAAACTTGGGGGCTGCAGATTGTCTTAGCTAAGAAATGATATCATCAAGAGGATAAAATAAAAAAATAGCATTTAAATAAATGGGTGTTAAGGAAAGACTGCAGCATACAGAAGCTCAAGGAACAATGAATAATGAACCAGATGAGATTTGACTATCTACCTGCTCTCCAGCAAGAGGATCAGGAATATTCTCGACAACTAAAGCTTCATGGTTTAGTGGATCGGGCACAAGAGAACCAATGACCTGAAATATTAACGAAGGGGAAAGGGAAAAAGGTAACTATAAATAAATAAGTGGTTTAAGAAAACAAAATTTAAAGGGTTAAAAAAACTGAAAGATGACAAGACCGAGTACTTCCTAAATAGCAGGTATTAAAATTTCAGTAAGTCAATTCAAAAGAAGGGGAGGGATGTGTTTATTTTAAGATTGACCAACACCGTATTTGAATTCTGCATATTAGAAGTGGGACTGCCATATATCTGAGAAATAGACAGCAACATTATAATAATTTAACATTAACTTATGAGATTTAGCATCTTTGGTTCATCTTACATATGTGAAACCAATAGTTTAATATGGGAGTAGGAACACAACCAAGCCTTTTCCCACTAGGAGGGATTGGCTACATGGCAGATCACACAATGCTATAATGATCTATTGTGAATTATGTTTATAGACAACGCATTGACCACTAAATCTACAGATTTAGCATATGTAATTATATTATTTTGACATTTTGTTGGGGGTGCTAGTATGTACATTCCAGTTCAATCACAAAACCTTGAGCCTATTCCTTTATCAATTCCATGACTGCTCTGGTTTCGTTTAGAAAACATTGGGAAAAACTGTCAAAAAACATAGGGAAAACCTCATTCATTTCATCTGCATCCATTAGGTCCTGATTTTTCCTTGAATTCAGAGGACAAGGATCCTTTAGAACTTCAATTTTAGACAATTGAAAATCTCCTGCACCTGAAACATGCACCTGGCAAAAATTATAAGACAACTATAAAATCAATGCAACTACAATAGCAAATTCACAAAGTTGACAGTTACCAGTTGGTTGACAGAGAGGCTTCGAGAACGAAGGTAACCAGTGAGAAACAGGGTGCATTTTTCAGAGTTGTCCTTGTATAGTGCACCAACCTATAATTCAGGGTGGGTGGCAAACGATAATGTCATCAGAAAAAAGTATATATTGGTAGCATCAATCAAAATCTAGATTTACAAAAGAACTGCGGAATAAAACATTTATGGGAAATTTCTCATTATTGTCTAAAAATACAACCTTCATGTTTGTTTAACACAAGATTGCAAACATGATTAAACTAGATTGTTACTTTTTGTAAGTTTGGTTTAGGCAAATGGTTTCATTTTTTGCAATGATATTCCTAGGAACATAGTTATTAAAACATGATCAGATCAGCAGGTTCAACCAGTCAAAGCAGAAACTGCTTTGCTATCTAATGTGGAATAACCAAAAAGCAATATGATAAATTAATCAGCTAACTCAGAAACTGGTTTGGTAAAGCTTAACTCACAAATGAATTCTTTGTTCTATTTATAACAACAGGAGGATCCTTCGACTCAACAACTACCTACCCGTTGTGGGGCTTTATAAAGGAAAATAACACATCTAAAGTGAGCCTAAGCTTCCCTTTCATATTAAATGCTCACAATCATAATCATCACACTTCCACGCCCAGTTCCATTGCTAAATGTTGTCTCAAGCTCCTCCCTGAGCAAGATCATCTCATGTTCAATCCTTACAATAAGCTCTACATCCCTTGTATCTCTTTCAAAAACTATATTAAGTTTCTATATTTTTTGTGCTGGAATCATTGTTTTGAATTTCATCATGAGGTAGAAGTAAAAGGAAGTGAGAGATGGTAACAATAGTTAGGTAAGTTTCATGATATGGGATTTGAGTCCCACATTGAAAGTATGCAGTTCTAGTACATGGTTTTAAGGCCTTGGATTCCATCTACAACAACTAGCTTTAGTGGTGTGGTTCTCTGAAGTATATCATTCATTGGTGTCCAAAACCTCACAATATCTATCATTTGCAAACACGCTGCATGGTAGCAATGTTAACATCAAATGGGCTAGTGCACAGCCCGCCCTACTGGGCAGAAAGAATGTCAAGTGTGGTGGGTTGTTCGGATCCAATTGCTAGGTATGGGACTTGAGTCTCACAACGAAACTATAGGATTTTAGTGTGGGGTTTTAAGGCCATGGGCTCTCTAACTACAACAGTTATATTTAGTGGTGTGATTCTCCCAAAGTTTTAATCAGCAACTAACATACCCATCCATCATCATAGGAAATTAAATGCAAGCAAAACAAAGGGACAGAAACTTTCCTAAATTCAAACTATTCCCAGGATTTTTTTATATATATCATGTACCAGACACAGGAATGTTATATTCCCAAGTTCAAAGTTCCCAAAAATAATTCAACAAAACCTTGAAAAAACACATAGAAGTTCAATCAAGATAAATTCAAACCTTTTGAGCTAAGAGGTATGATCGTTGAGTTCTCCAATGAGGAATTTTAAGCCTTTGCTCTTTAAAGAGCCACAAGAACTGCATTAGTAAAGAAGGGAGCAGTTGTAGGCTTTGATCATTAGACTGGACGTACATTTGATGAAAAATTCAGAAGGTAAATTTTCAGCCAACAATTGGTGAAATAATTACCTTATGTAGCTCATCCTTTGTATCAGCTGGATAAAATTTACAATCCTCAGGAAAGTCTGAGGCAAGACTAGATGTGCACATCTTCTTCAGTTCATTTCTTTGTTTAAGATCAGAAGGTAAATCCTGAATGCATAAAATGGAATTTCCTCATAAATATCTAAAACTCAATTTCTTAATGAAATGATAGTAAGTTTGTGAATTAGTTCGAATTAAAAAAAAATAGGATCCATCATAACATACACGGATAAACACAGCAGTGCTTGGTAAACCTAGAGATCTAAATACAGAAAGGCATTGATTTCCAAACGAGTCAATGTAGTTCGAGTCAGTTTCTTCACACAAAGACTTTGCTGAGGCCACGAAAACCATTAGATCAGCAACCTACAACATAAAGCGTCCAATGAAAATCAAGAGCCACATTTCAGCACCTTTTAAACTTAAACTCATGTAACAGAGCACATATAAACAATAATACCTTAGCCATTTCCATGCATGATAGTAGATTACCATGAGGTGCTTTCAATACCTGTAGTGTACAACATTTAGTCAGTGTTATAAAACACTTTGACTTTGGCTTTATACGGAAAGAATGAATCATTAACTTTATATTCAATATATGTATAAATTTCAATTTTTGTGCTTTTTCTTTTTTCCAATTTCAGTTTACCTTCATAATGCATATAAAAAAATGATAGATATGAAGTTTTCCATTTTTTTTACCGTTAGATGTTGTCTCTAGATAATTTTTCATTTACATTCATCACTCATTGGTTGCAATGACACATGCCAAAGCAGAATTGTACTCCCATATAAGAACCACTAAAAAAATATGAAAATAAGGACCATCACATTATATTCGTCTTGTATTTCAGTTTTTTAAGATTTGACACAAACATTCAAGATAAAGGATGGTTGTAATTCAACAGTTGCAAGAATGTTATGTGTTACACCAGTGTAAACATATCGTTACTCTGTATAAGCATCCCTAAAACATATATATATATATATATATATATATATATATATATATATATATATATATATATATATATATAATTCTTGTCCTATGCTCAGAATAAAAATGCAGCAATCCAATGTACCGTTATTCTTGTCTTGTATTCAGAAGAAGCAACGGTTCCTTGCAGCACCACACAGCTATCTTTGGATAATAATGACAGGAGATCATCAGCAAGTGATTCTAAATCCACAGAAGCACAGAGGGCAAATAGAACCTGCGAGGAACAAAAGATAGATAAAATTAGTATCCAAAACAAGGTCAGATTCAGTTCAGCCAAAAGCCACGATTCACTCACTATGACTCGAGGAGAACTTCTCGACCCACTCAGTTCTCTTTTCTCTTTCAAGACCGCAGCCCTTTTCTGATCACGTATCTGTATATTTCCTAATCAGCGACTCTGAAAACGAAAACGCAAGGGACAAGGGACAACTGGAACAAAGAAACAGTGACAAATACCATTTTACTTCTCTGAATTCGAGCTGCACGAGCTCCTTTGCCAACATTGCGCTCTGTTTTTGCGATTGCGAGTCTGTCTAAACAACCCAACCGAAAAAGCAAACAATAAGAAAGGGGGAAAAAAGTAGAAGAGAAAACAAATTAACGGCATGGAGATGAAATACTAACCCTTGACAGAGGTTTTATGAAGATTGCGAGAGGACTTGGAAGAGAAACGGGACTTGTGAGGCTTATTGACTTGAACTCTGGACCCGCCCATTGTGGTGGCACGCACCGGTAGCTTTCACCGCTGCGTCCTCTTCTCGATCTCAGTTGCAAGCAAAACCCTATTTCCTGACGAAATAAGCCGCAGAGGGTTTAGCAAACAATACTAGCTTATTCTTTCATTCAGTTACGTATATAAACCCGGTTCTGACCAAAGCCCATTAGAGTCATATAGTTTAAAACTATTTTCTTTATTTGATTACTGATTAAATTAAATTAAGAGAAATACGTGTACTCACTTTATTCTCACAGCCAATGATTGATTTTCGTAGTAATATTTTAAAATTATTGTAATTGGAATCTTTTTATTTTTTTAAGGAGTTTTAACGATTTCTACAAATGTAAGTTATATGAGACTAATATTTGGTTTGAAAATGATTCATATTTACAGTATTTTTGCTGTGTTTTTCAAATTTTCAAAACTTAACGTGCCAACTAGATTATATCTGTTGAATATAATAATTACTTGAAAATATATTTAAAATATATTTTATCATTTTATAGGTTAACTTTGTACTAATAATTCATAATTATTTTTTTGAGAAATAAATACAATTGTCATTAATATACAAAATTTACATTACTAATCGACAAATTTAATTTTAAACTAATTTATAATAAAATTATTTTCTATATACTCATATTATAAAAATCGTTACACTATCATCAATGATTTATAAACATTTGATACTAAAAGATAATATTAAAACTAACTTTTAAGATAATTATTATTGTTAAAAATATATATTTGTGTTTCTGATAACATAATAATAGTTTACATTGTTACGACATTTATAAAACTAATAAACTTATCATAATTTATAATTGATTGATAATTATAATATATATATATATATATATATATATATATATATATATATATATATATATATATCATCACGTTTAGATCATTATAGTAATTGATTAGTGTTGATTTTATTAATATTAAATTATCTTTTTTTTGTCATGCATAATATCTTTGACGTCACAAAATAAGAGTAGAAAAATATCTAAGTTCTGTGCAATCCAACTTCGGTGATAAAGAAGCATCCGTCTTGAGGAGCAACAAGCTTCATGATAACATGTTGGTTTTGCCACCACAACTAACACCACCATTCCCTTCCCTCCACGTCACCCACTTCCCCATCCACAGCTACCGTTACAACCACCACTACCATGCCCTCCCACCGCCTCACTCCGCCGCAAATTCCATAACATTCTCCTCCCCAAAACCAATAATCCTGGAAGAAGGCCCCGACGACGTCCTCTCCTTCCACAATCGCCGCTACGACTTCACCCCCCTCCTCCACTTCCTCTCCGACTCCGACCCCAACTCGGACCTCGACTCGGTCCCTCCCACGTCCCTCGACTCAACCGAGTTCCAACTCGCCGAGTCCTACCGCGCCGTTCCGGCCCCACTCTGGCACGCGCTCCTCAAATCCCTCTGCGCTTCCTCCTCCTCCGTCAACCTCGCATACGCCGTCGTTTCATGGCTGCAGAAACACAACCTCTGCTTCTCCTACGAGCTCCTCTACTCCATCCTAATCAACGCCCTTGGCCGCACCGAAAAACTATACGAAGCCTTCTTACTCTCCCAGCGCCAAACCCTCACCCCCCTCACGTACAACGCGCTTATCGGCGCGTGCGCGCGAAATGGCGACGTCGAGAAAGCCCTCAACCTAATGGCCAAAATGCGCCGCGACGGTTACCAACCGGACTTCATCAACTACAGTTCCATCATTCAGTACCTTACACGCTCCAACCGCGTGGACTCTCCCATTCTGCAGAAGCTCTACTCGGAGATCGAGAGCGACAAAATCGAAATGGATGGCCACCTGATGAACGACATCATCTTAGGATTCTCAAAAGCCGGTGATCCAACACGCGCCCTGAGTTTTCTCGCTATGTCTCAGAGCAACGGATTGAACCCTAAACCCTCGACGCTTGCTGCGGTTATCTTGGCGCTTGGGAATTCGGGAAGGACGCAAGAGGCTGAAGCGTTGTTTGAGGAGATTAGAGAGAACGGGTTGGAACCGAGAACCAGGGCATACAATGCTTTGCTTAAAGGTTACGTGAAAACAGGTTCGCTTAAAGATGCAGAATTTGTGGTCTCTGAAATGGAGAAAGCTGGGGTTATGCCTGATGAGCAGACTTATAGTTTGTTGGTTGACGCGTATGCTCACGCTGGGAGGTGGGAGAGTGCGAGGATTGTGTTGAAGGAGATGGAAGCGAGCAATGTGCAACCTAATTCGTTTGTTTATAGTAGAATTTTGGCGGGTTATCGCGACAAAGGGGAGTGGCAGAAATCTTTTCAAGTTCTGAAGGATATGAAAAGCAGTGGTGTGAAGCCTGATAGGCATTTTTACAATGTGATGATTGATACGTTTGGGAAGTATAACTGTCTTGATCACGCCATGGCGACGTTTGAGAGGATGTTGTTGGAGGGGATTCAGCCGGATACAGTTACCTGGAACACCCTGATCGCCTGTCATTGTAAGTCAGGGCGCCATGATAAGGCTGAGGATTTGTTCAAGGAAATGCAGCAGAGGGGATTCTCGCCTTGCATAACTACGTATAATATTATGATTAACTGTATGGGGGAGCAGCAGAGGTGGGAGCAAGTGAGTGAGCTTTTGAGCAAGATGCAGTGTCAGGGATTGCTACCCAATTCAATAACTTACACAACTCTGGTTGATGTTTATGGAAAGTCAGGCAGATTTAGTGATGCGATTGAATGCTTGGAGGTCTTGAAATCCACGGGCTTCAAGCCTACTTCAACCATGTATAATGCTCTAATCAATGCCTATGCACAAAAGGTATGCCTATAACTGTCATTGCAAGCAATTCAATGCTTGCTAATCTAGTCATCCCTGGTCTGTAATGTATACACCAATATGCTGATTGTGTTTTTTATGAACTGATATAAGTTTACATGTCTGCACCTTACTAGTTTTGACATGAATATTATTCTTTCATTTGCCTACCTTTTCCTTGAGTGAAGGCTAAATATTCATTTATCTTATCCCGGCATGCTGTTTTGTCTTGTATCAAATCACTCAATTGAAACCATGAAACCTTAAAATATCCTTTGTGCCTACTAACTATGCATTGATAGTTTTTTTAATTTCTAAGACCTGATGTTAAATTGCGGTGCCGACAGTCATCAATTGTGATTTTTCTGTTATGAAGTTCAGTGATTATTTATTCTTCTTCCACCGGAAAGCATAAAGCACTAACTGTAGGAAAAGAAAATAGGCTGAAAATGGACCATATATTTGTCTACGATTTCATCCTTAACTCATTCGATGAGTGGATTGGTTAAGGAATAATGGTTAAATATTTGGCTAAATTTTGCAGGGTTTGTCTGAACTAGCAGTGAACTCGTTCAGGTTGATGACAACTGAGGGACTGAAACCCAGTCTTTTAGCTCTCAATTCATTAATTAATGCATTTGGTGAAGATAGAAGGGATGCTGAAGCCTTTGCTGTGCTGCAATACATGAAAGAAAACGTATGCTTTTGTCACATGTTTTTTCTTTTTTTCTTCTTTTATGGCTATACCTTTTTATATGATATTTGACTTGCGTCCTTGGTCAAGTACTGATTTATATTTTCATATTAACTACAGAACATTGAACCTGATGTGGTTACTTATACCACACTCATGAAAGCACTGATTCTTTGTGAAAAGTTCCAAAAGGTACATAGTATAACATCATCATAGTCAATTTGTTGTCTTTGTTCATCAAAGGAAATTATCATGGATATTTTTTTGCCCATAGTATATTTTTAGAATTCCAAGTGTGACATTTTACTCTAGTTTGTATTGGTTTGTAGTCCCTATGCTACGATGATTCAGAGTTAACAAATCAGTGAAAATAACATGATTTCAACACATAACTTGACTTGGCTCTAGGTTTTTTTGCCACGTTTTTTGGAGATTAAGTCCCATTACGTTCCACATTATCACTAACATGGATGATAGTGTGATGGAGAACAATTATAGCAACATTGGTGAATCTTGTTTAGCCTGTTTATTAGTTTATTTGTGACTTACTTCTCGTACAACCTATGCTGCATCATTTGGGTTTTAGGTTCCTGGCGTGTATGAAGAAATGGTCGCATCTGGGTGCACTCCTGATAGAAAAGCTAGAGCGATGCTGCGGTCTGCACTTAGATACATGAAGCAGACACTGAAATCATAGTTAAATTACCAAACACTTTCTTTCATAAAGACAGAACAGAATCAAATTTCCTCACCTTATAAAGCTGAAGGTTAGTGGTATCTACCTTGCAGCTTAGGCTTAAATTTGCATGTCTCCGGGCCTTAGGTTTGATTTTAAAATTAACATTTTCTTAGTAACTGCATTATGGATTTGAAGCCAAACCATGAAATTGGTCAGCATTATATGCAAAATTTGTCTGAAATTGACTCTTATTAATTTGCCTTCCATTGAAGTAGACGCCTTGTCCCTCAAATTATGAAATTTGAACCGATTATCTCGGTTAAATTTATGTGGTTGCTGATGTAGTGAACAATGAGTCTGTTATGTTTGTTTTTATGTGTTTATTTGGAAAGCTCAAATCATGATGAAAGGTCAAATCATGATGAATATTTTAATCTTTCAGGTTAATGTAATAATAAAATCACGAGTCCTGTTGTAGACTAGTATTACCTCTTCACAGAAGGTGCGTTTGGGCAGTATCTTGCTGGATATGTACAATCCAACAGTGCCTGAATGAGAAATGAAGTTTCGGAAATCACACGTCACGCATAAAAAATTGATGGCTTCCTTCCGTAATGCTGTACCATGTATCAATCTTTAGGATTTACGATCGTACGTTGATGTAAGTAAAAATTATATGTTAACATGCATATTTCAGGTTCATATATTTGAATTTGTGTATAATTTAGAATAAGTAAAAGGAAACAAAGAAGGATTAAGAAGATTGAAAGCAACTAGCTACCAAAGATTCCAAGAAATGTCTGTTTCCAAGTATGCAAACTAAGTTTCTCACTTCCAAAATATAAAACGGTAAAACAAATATTTCCAACTGTTGCCTTAGGTTTGTTTATTTGAATAGTTAAAGTTGTTTATTTCAATGGTTAAAAAAAATACACTACAGGCGTTTGTATCGATATTATATCATGTTGAAAGTAAATTCAATATATGAAATTAATTGTATACTTTACCGGTTTAATATTATTAGTTTGTCAATTTCAAAATTCTTTTAGTGACGTTTTTTATTAAACTTCTCAATTTTTTTATACTTTAGTGATGTATTCAATTTCTAACTAAGTTGTAATTTGTTTTAAAAAAGCTTTAAAACAAAAACAAAACCGATTTTTACAAAATGAGTGGATTTGTTTTTCGACTTTTTGTAATATGTCGTCACTCTTTTAGAAATTTGAAGACAGATCAAATATAAAAAAATTGTAAAGTTTAGAGATAAAAATTAAAAAAGAAAACTTAGATGATAAAACTGTAAAATAACAATAGTTAATTAATAAAATGTGCCATTAAGCCTATGAGAAAAGATTCACGCTCAAGCAAAACAAATGCACCCTTGTACATTAGTGTGCAACAAAATTGGTTAGTCCTTGGTGCAAATAAAGAATTGGATTATACAGCCTGAAGAAAAGGCTAGCGTTACATAGTATTACAGACAAGACAACAATTTAACTTACAAATTTTTTTTCTCAAAATTGGATATACAATTTATCCTACGACCTAATCTTAGAGGGGTATAGCAGAAGGAATTGGTCTACTACACTTGCTTTTTGAAATTCTAGAACAGAACATGAACAATAATAACACTGAAGAGAGTAGAAATAGCCTAAAATATGTTCTTATTTCTTGCATTCCAAGCTCAAGCACCTCCATCTTTTTTCCATATCTATTTCTTCTCTCCATCAAATACCCGTCTAGATATTCATCTATTGATACCAACCTATCTAGTTTCATAATAGATGCTTTCGAATAATCACCAAGCTGGTGCGGCACCAATTTGAAAATTGTAAAGAATGTTGCAGACCAGTCACTGAGAACTCTCTGAAAATGACAATATAAAATATTAGAATCACTTGTGCAGCTTGTTATCTCTTATGAATTTAAGAAGAATTATATAAGGGAAAGATAAATATAATATTTATCCTATTGAGTAATTCATAATTTCTAAGATGGTATAAAGTTAATTACTGCAATGTTAGGATATGAAAATTTATGAGATGAAAGATTGAAATCTCATATCGATTATAAATATACAATAACATTATGATATATAGGTAAGTATAATTATCACCTTAAGTCAGTTTTATAAGGGTTAAATTAAATATTTTAATATCCTTCCTCATCTTAATTGTTGTATCACCTAGTAATAGGTGAGAGGGTACTATGGGGTGACAATATGGGTTCTAATTCAATAGTTTCAAACTGGGTTGGATTCAATTTTTATATTTTTATTGAATATGGATTAAAATGAGTTTCGTTCACTTAACCCAAAGATTAATCAGGTTTGAGCTTAACTATGATGGATTGACCCATAAACTACACTACATTTTAAATTTTAAAAATAATTAATAATTTAATAAAAAATTAATTTCATTCATTTACGTAATCTTTTGTTCCCACTACTACAAGTCAACAAAATCATATTCACTCAAGATTGTTGTATGTGTACTATTTGTCTTCCATCGCATTCCCCTAATATGCTCCGTTCTTTGCATCCACCAACACATATGCCTGTGTCTATCTACCTCCTCTACATCTATTACGTCTATCATAGGCCTCCATTACATTCACCACCTCCACTACATTTACACATTTTCTGCATCCATCACATTTCCTATATTTGTTGTGTTGGTAATGGATGAAGGAGTGAACTTACCTAACTTTCCAACTTTTCCTATATTTGTTGTGTTGGTAATGGATGAATGAGTGAACTTAACTAACTTTCCAACTTGTAATAGATTGAACTCCAACATATAATAGATTGAACCAGATTATAAATTCTTTTAACTGTAAAATGAATCGAGTTACCTATTTTCAATTTAAACATTTGGTGACACCCCTAAACATGTACATAACTTTAACGCCGCTAGTAGAGCTTCCAGAATTTAAACTTGCGAGCTCTAGATCATAAGTTAGCAGCAACCTTTAGGTCAGTCTCTCCCTCACCTTAATTATAAATTGAAAATATTTATTTTATTCATCTATTCATTTAATTTAAAATAACTCGAGTAAAGGAATAGAAAACACTTGGAAGGAATGGAGTGATCATTGCTGTACATCGTAAGTAGCAAAGTCGGTGGGATTGAACATTTTGAAACAGTCTCTTGCTGGAGCCGTTCCATCTCCATATATCTGCCAGTCAATACACGAAGACATAAGGACACCACCTAATCTCAGGTGAAAAGCCCAACAGCAAAAAGGGAAGAAGTTCGGCAGACAAACCTCAAAGGTGAAAGCCATCGGTACCCCCACAATTTCATACATGAAATCAGTTGCTGTCCCGTGTGCAAAATACCTGGATAAGCAAGTTCAGAACATTAAGGAAGGAATATTGCATAGATGGCATTTGACAACCTCGACACCAGTAACTTTTAGGTATTGTACAGATTGTGTATTTTATACTTTCGAAATTTAGAATTTTAATTCTTAAATTTAGCACCTTAAAAAACGGTGCTAAGCTACATATAACTTCAAATTATCAGAAGTGATAGAATACTTGAGACCTTCTAATGGTCGATTTCAAATAAGGATCAGAGAACATTTTGTTTATTAATATGCCATTCATCCTATTCACAGATAAATTCATCCGTTACAAAAATATTTTAAAAAATAAATCAGATTAAATTTATCTATTTAATTTTATATATAGCTAATGAGTCATCCATTATTTCTCAAAATCTAATAGATCCTCCTATTTATAATCTTACCATTTTATCATAATTAAACCTTTCTTAAGTTTATCTTTTTAAAAATTTATCAAAAATGTATTTTAAATTTATTTTAGAAAACTTTTTTAAAAATATAATTATAAAAAAAGATTATTAATTTTAAAAAGATATTTTATGAATGGATTGAATATCCATCTATGAAAAAGTTGTTAATAAGTAGATTGAATTGAATTTTTATTAAATGAATAGGATTAAATTGATTTTTTAATTATCAAAATAAATTAATGAAATTTTTTATCCAATTTGATATGATATAAAATCAAATTTTTTTAATCTATCCAATTTTTTTCACCCGTAACTTCAAACAAGTGCCAGTTACAGCTTGCAAATTTGGAAGTTAAGGTCATTATAGGTTGACCGTTGACAGTGTTTTGAGTAAGATATCTCTCCCCTCTTATGCATACTTTGTTTTGTTTCATTTCATATATTACATGATGCATTCAAGACAAACAAAAAAGTGACACAAGAAACTGCAATGGTCAATTTTTTTTCTCTGATCATAAAATCCCCTAAAATGGCATCAATTGTGAACCAGGGACAGATGGCAGAAGAAAACAACTTCTATCAGAATTCAACTATCCTTACAGAATCAGCTCTGGACACAACAGTGCATTTATTTTTGCTAGCGAAGATAGTTAACAGAAGAAAACAGATATAAAATACAAAATATTTCGCCTAGAGAAAAGTTTCATCAGTCCAAATCAAATTCAGATAAAAATAAACTGACCCGACTGAACCGCCTCCAGACCCAATCATGCAGCGCTTTTGGCAATGAAGATGGCTTACTTCTTCAAGCAATGACTTCATATGTTTCAATGGCAATCCATCTGGTGTTTTGTTTTTATGATCGTAAGGCATAAAAAGAGCCTACAGAGGGGAGAGGGGGGAGGAGAGGAAAAAGGATACTGAAAAGTGTCATATGAATGATAGATGAATGGTTCCTTAGTATGTAAACCAAATTACAAATAATGTATTTTACACATTTTCCCATATAAGTAAATATACTGTCAAAGTCAAATAATGTAAAAGCAGCAATAATACCAACCATAACAATTGTAGTAAATAATACAATTAAGGACTGGTAACAGGGCCCAGAAATTTGGGTAATTGGGGCAAGACATTGTCTGCTTTACTTCGCGAGAAAAAATAATGTGAGAAACTTTAACATGATGGGGGCAAAGTTTTAAAGAAAGTGAGCCATAAATGATAATCTAAGGCTACAGTATTATAGAATTTTGAAACTGAGTTGGGGCTGTAGCCCATGGTTCTGCCAATGTTAAGAGCAGAAGAAAACAGTCAAAGTACTGTCTATAATGTATGCCCATCTTGGTGGGCTGTCTATAGTCAAGGTTAAGCAAAAGAGAATATGATAAGATTCCAAATAAAATTGATGCAATTAGGATTTAGAATCAATTAAGAATAGAAAATTAGGAACTGAGAATAGAATAGAGAAAACCTGAATAAAGAAGGTGTCGCAAACAAAGTTTGATAAGGCTAAAAATGATCGTCATAAAAATTGGTGACTTCTTGATAAGATCAAAGATGCAAGAAAGAACTCCAATAGAGAAATATTTTCACTTTAGTAACATTCATTTCTTGTTTTTTTTTTCTCAATTCAACAATCATAAATACAAAAATTTAAAGTTTAAGATTTTCTTGGGTTTGACTTTGTTTATAATAAAAAGAAACTCAAAAAAATTAAAACTAATCAAATATTAAACTAATGGTCTTGGATTCAAATCCCAACTCCACCAAAAAAAATAAATTATTTTTATTTTAACTCTCCAAGCCCACTACACATAAATAACTTAGTTTCCTCATTGACTTGAGTCTTTGACTGTTAAACCTCTCATAAAAGAGTCACCATCTGCTGTAAAGCTTCTTGGGTCATTCTAATCCTTCCTTTAGTCATTAGTCTGATAAAATCTTCAATTAGATCTTCATCTTTCTTCTCATATTCTTGGGATTTTATGTCCACGTCATCAAGACATTTGCATCACAACTATTGACTGTATAAAAATATGATAAATCTTCATGGAGTCTTAAGCTTAACTCTGATTCCGGTTCATTGAAATTTTATGCTTCACAAAATACGAATTAGGTTTTCAAGAAAATAGTTTGCTAAAGAAGAGGAATAGTACAAGAGTACTAGTGCACATGGTTCCCTTGATGAAGAATCAAATTAGAAGCTTGCACGGGGAATGAGAAAAAAAAAACTAAAATATTCCAGGGGCAAAGGTTCCTCCCTTTGTAAAGGTATAGGATAGGATAATTGTACAGTCTTCTCTTCGCATATGCAAAGAGGCTTGTATTAGGTGTGAGACATTAAAAAAATAAAGTCAGAACTAAATTAAGACAATGGGATTTGAGTTGTCATTTTTTGAGCCAGAGACTTGCTTTGTGCTTCTATAAAGCTGGTTATTTCTTGAAAAACTCAAGCATTAGAAAGATGCAGTAGTAATGTACATCAGGTTGTCAAAAGCACAGTGGCGTTTAAGCTACCAGGGTTTTCCAAACACTAAATAATAATTGGGATCAGTAGATTTATATAATTTGAGCCATGAAATGAGAAATGTGTTTGAAAGGTTGTAAAGAAATCAGATACATAACACCAATAGAAGCGAGCAGAGCACGTGTGAATTATGGTTATCCGTTCAATTACTGATTATAATTCCTGCTTGGGTTATATAATGTAGAGCAGATGTGGATAAGAAATCTAAGGGAACAATCATCTTTTTTTTAGAGACAGGTGAAAAAAGAACTAAACTTACCTCCATTCCAGAGTGCACATTTACCCATAGATGTGGTTCAAAAGACATGGCAAGATTCCGCATAATTTGACTTTCAGGCTCGCTGAATGGAGCAATTCCAGGATTCTCCTCATATGGATCATAATCCTATTGATTTGAGAAAAATAAAAATGAAAAAAGAGACGCTTCAGAAATATTGAACATTAGATATATTTCTGGAAAAGAAAGAGATCAGTGCATATATTTCGGGCAGACAACCAAAAAGAGCCCCTCTTTGAGTGCCACACCTATCAATACAACCTATCTTCTAGGTGCAAGTCCATAATGGACACAAGAAAAACACTATTAACATTGTTTATATTATGAACTGATATATTGAAGAAGCATAATGAACCTTCTCCTTTTTGCCCCAATCTACACTCCAATTTCGATTGAGATCAACTCCCCTACCTGCACATAACATAACACGAACTCAGACATTCTCAAAGCTAGTCAATATTTATAAATAATGATTATAAAAGAGAAATACAATACCATTTCTTCTCTCACAGAGATCTCCAGCTTCAACAACTTTGCGGCCATTCAAGTTTTCCATCGGAACCACCTGAAAATAATTAGGCGTCAGCATTAAATAGATACTGAATATCTCCTTTTACTTGTATTATCTACGAACACATCTAAATTCCCATCTGATTTTTTCTCATAAACTAACTTCAAGATATAACTAAAGATATTGTAAATTTCATTAAAAAAAAAATCCCTTGTAGAAGTTTTTCATGCGTTTGTTTCAACTTTTTAGAAAAGAATCTAAAATATGATTAAAATGAAGAACTAGTTTGAATAAATTCTTGAAAAAAAAAACTTTTATTAAAAAACGGCTTTTATATTTGTAAACAAACATAAATTAACTTCTTCTTCTTGAATCCTTAACAAACAGGCCATCAGTCTAAAACTTCAAAATATGGATGAAAGGTACCTAAAAATTATTATGACCGACTAGGAGAACATGAAATATTGAAACATAACGCAGTATGCCTGCATAGTATAAAGTGTGAAACAATTGGGAAAGAGTTTTCATACTATATATAAAGTGTTCCGAAACTTTACTAGCATATTGATAATCAGAGTCAAGTTCCGGATGGAATGATGAATTTCACCATTACCGTCCGTGTATTTATGGTAGAAAGTTTAACTAACCTTTATGACAAGCTTGTCAAGTACACTGTTTAAGGAAGCTTGATCCATGCTGGGTAGAAGTTTTTCTTCACTTAATATGAACAAAATCCTTAAAGCAAGTTCTGTGGTAATCAGCTCCCTTCCATGCTGCCCAAAACTCTGGAAGACAAGGAATCATCTGTCAAAAACACCAGAATAACCAATTTGAGATAACTATCCACTACATGCCAAATTATAGCTTTTTCTCATAAAATGGCCCAGTCATAATTATATTATCATAATTTGCCCCCTTTTATTTACGCTTCTAGGATTTAAGAAGAGTCTAAGGTCTTAGATACAATTGTTTGCAGTATTAAACACCTTGTCACATGAAACTTTTATCATTTGGGAGATATTTTAGATATTATTCATCAAAATATATATTTGTCATATTTACTTATATCAGTCTTAATTAAGAATATATTATCCTATATGTATTTTAGACACAAGGGAATTAATTCATTCTTAGTTTTTCATTATATTCAACATGATATCTAGAGTTTAGGTTCTCTTTTTTTTCTTCATTGCCTCCGCCGAAGCTGTTTCTATCACCGGAGCCGCCACTATCGCCGGATTTTTATATCTTCTGGATTGGTATGTCATATTCACAAATCTTTATATTGCCTAAAATAGTCTCCTAGGATCTAGTTTAGAAAATTTAGCAATGTCATTTAACAGTTTAGTATGACTCGCAGTGAGGTAGATCATTCATTATTTGATCGTCACTCAAGTGTTGGGTGTATCTATTTAATGGTATATGTTTATGATATTATTCTTATAGGGAGTGATCACCATGGCATCTCCCAGATGAAACAACACATTTGTCACTACTTTCAGAAAGATCTTGACAAACTTAGATATTTCTTGGAGATTGAGGTAGCATAATCCAATAATGGTATTGTTATATCTCAGAGAAAGTATGCATTAGATATTTTAGAAGAAATTAGATTGATGAACTCAAAATTTTTTTACACACCCATGAATCACAATACCAAACTCCTACCTAATCAAGGGGAGTCTCTCGAATCCTGAGAAGTACAAAAGATTAGTTGGAAAATTAAACTATCTTACTATTACTCGTCCTGGCATTTCCTTTACAGTTAGTGTGGTGAGTCAATTTCTTAATTCCCCATATGCAGATCATTGGAATGCAGTCATTCGTATATTAAAGTACATTAAAGGATCTCCTAAAAAATGTTTGTTATATGATCACAATAACCAGGCTAAAGTGGTCTGTTATTCAGATGTTGACTAGGCAGGACCTCCTTTTGATAGAAGATCTACTTCCGGATACTGTGCTTCTATTGGAGGAAACTTGATCTCTTGGAAGAGCAAGAAACAAAGTGTTGTGGTAAGATTTAGTGCGGAAGCAGAATATAGAACTATAGTCTTAGTCACTTGTGAACTTGTTTGGCTTAAACAATTTCTTAAAGAGTTACAATTTGAAGATTTCACTCAAATGACCCTTATATGTGACAATCAAGATGCTCTTTATATTAACTCTAATATTGTCTTTCATAAAAGGACCAAACACATTGAAGTTGACTGTCATTTTATTCAAGAAAAAATTGTATATGGAGACATTAAGATAGAGTTTGTTAACTCAAGTGAACAGTCAGCAGATGTTTTCACCAAATCTTTACAGGAACCTATAATTGATTATATTTGTAACAAGATTGGTATATATGATTTATATACATCAGCTTGAAGAGGAGTGTTAGATATTTTAGATATTATTCATCACAATATGTGTATTTGTCATATTTACTTATATAACTCTTAATTATAAATATATTATCCTATGTGTCTATTTTAGACACAAGGGAATTAATCTTATTCCTAATTTTTTATTATATTCAACATCATTCATTAAGACAAATCAACAACGTTGAAAACTTACAAGTAGAATCCGAAGCTTTGACCTCTTATCATTTTTTTCCTTTTCCTTGCCATAAGTAACCACAGTAATGTCAGCACCATAGCCTTTGTTTGCAGCTTTCATTGTCTCCATCTATTTAGAAACATTAAAAATGTGAATTGTGCATCCTAGAAACTGAGAAACTTGCAATAGGCAATCTAGAAACACCATAAATGACGCACAGTGAGTTTGTCCGGGTGACGGTGGACCAAGGCCCTGATCTCCTCCATCAAATTGTGACTGCAGAATCCCACAATTTCAGCAAACAAATAAACAATTTCATAAAATCAAATGAGCTGGCCAAATAGCTTCAAAAACATTGCGTCATTAGCAAACAACAATTCATAAGCACAATAACAGCATAATTATTTATAAAGTAAGTACATGTTCAGATTGACGCTAGATCAGCTAAAATGACATAAAAATACCAGTTAACATGATTTGAAATAAATGTTAACAGGTTTTCTTCTACTTTAAGAAATCAACTTTGAATCTACTCTTGATTTTGAATTAAAGTAACTTCAGGTAACTTTTGCCTTGTATCAAAAACCCTATACTGAATTTTACTATTAATTTGCTTTAAGAATATAAACTATTAGCAAAATTAATTTTATTTGAAATTCCTCGCCAAACACACAAAAGGACAAGCGCTATAAAACCTTAATCCAACACGCAAGCAAAGCCACCAATTAGGAAAGCGTCCTTGAGATTCATTCAACAAAACCTTAATCCAGTTTTAACGGTAAAATAAAACGTGATAATCAGTACGAAAAGAAAACAGGCAATAAAGAAAAGAATCAGATAGCCATTTCCAAAATTCAATTATGCAATTAAAAGCACGCGCCATTCGAACCTATCGAAGCTGAGAATCGTAGATCAGGTAGTAGCGGTAAGATGAGTTACCTGGAATGGTAGAGATCGTAGTCGATTGGCGTAACTGAAGGTTGAGTTTGATTGTATGATTGCGCGTCAACAGAGAGAAGAAGATCTTGTAAAAAAACGAGGAAGCAGATGCTGATTGAGAGCAGAAGAAAAACTGAAAGAGCCATGGCAAGATCCAGAACAACAGAGTATCCACAAATTAAATTTCATTGCATTTCATATCTCGTTTTTTCTCACGGTAATGTGATGTTTTGATTCGGTATATATCGTTATTAATTAATAATTAAATTATCAAACATCTCTAGTGTGTGTCTCTGCCACCAATGATGACTTTTTTTACAATTATCTTGTTCCTTTACTTTTTTAAAAGACCAAGTATTATGTAGCTTTTTCCACGTTCAACCGTCTCCATCAAACATTGTTGGAAGGTCACCTCACACATCCATTTATATATTTGTATTTTATAAGCAGAGTGCCATTTGAACAACAAAATGGATAAATTAACGTTGAAGTTCATTATCGTTGGTGTAGACTACAAAAATAATAAAAGATGATAAATAAGGTAATTAACGTGGCAAAGAGAAATGTAGAAATTATATTTGGTTTTAATCTAGAGCAAGGAAAGGCTCTCAAAATATCATGATACCATTTATAGTTTTGTACGACAAAACGAATAATTTATGCATTTACAAAAAAAAATGCTGATAAGGTAATAAAGAAAAATATAAAAAATTAAAATATAACTATCACGTTCATATTATAAATATAATTTTTTTTTTAAATGAAAGTATTTTAAAACGAAAGCATTTTCAAAAGTTATCGAGTTAGCATCATATTTTATTAAAAAAAAAAATTAGATGTATTTCTTGAATTTAATTGTAAATTTGATTTGATTTGATAGTTAGTTCAAAAAACTCCCTCTCAAATATTTGCTTTTGTAATCATGTCATCTTTTACTAGAGAAAATTATGTACAACAAGGCAAAAGGTAGAAAATTTAAGCATTTAATTAATCTAACAGTATGTTGCTTTACCACATTCATCTTTAGCTGCAACACTTGTTCATGATAGGCACAACAACTTTTTTGCAATTTTCTTTTTCAGAGTTGTCATCTGTTCTGCGTAGACTTGTCTTTCCTCAATTAATGAAGCAACTTTTTGCTTCAACTCTTCATGAACAACATCCTCTTCATCTTCCTTTTCCCCTCCTTCATACTCTTCAGCCACACAAAAAAAAAGTTGCAGCTACTTGTTTCTTGCAATAAACTAATATTTCAATCCCGCAACACAAAAATCAAACGCACGTAGAGAAAGATGAATGAAGATGGCTTCAAATGCTTTCCTTGATTTTTTGAACTGTGAGACGTCAACAAAAAATGGCTTCAAATGCTTCGGGAGTTCGAAGATGTCGATGACGGCCAGTTCCTTACACTCCGCCCTTCAGCAATGGAGTTCTATCGTAGTTACTATTAGGGGAAAAAATCATTGAAATTAATTGAAGTATCACCAAAAATAAATAAAAAAATTCAGCCACATATAAAAAAAAAATCCATAAATCTATTATCTCTTGACTATTTTCTTCTTTAAGTAATTATGGAACAAGAATAGTAATGATATATTTGATTTAATTTTATTTTAAAAAATTGATAATATAAAATAAATATTAATAAATACACAAATATCACTAATAAAATTAAAAAAAAATTATTTTAATCAAACAATTATCAAATAACTTTTCATTTTAAAAAGTAAAAAATATATTTCCTTTTAAAAACGGTAATGAACCAACGAGTGGCAAAATTAATAATAATAAAAAATAAAAAATAAAAAGTAGCACGAAAACTCCAAATTTTAATTAAGCCAAAAATTTAATATCAAAGATCATGGGTCAATGGTAGACCACACCAAACACAATAGCTCAAATAAAAACAATCCTATCCAGATATTTTTTGTTTAATGGAGTTGGGTAGCGTGTGTTTATTGTCCAACACCAATAAAGAAGGAAGACAATAAGTAATAAAAATAAATCAAAAACATTAATTAATAATTTAATAATAATAATAAAACAATAATAAATGTCCATAAGAAAATAGAGATTCTACTGTTTCAAATCAAGAATGCGTGTCAGCCGTGTGATCCTAAATATGACCGTTGTAGACGCTCCTACGTGCGTTTCAATTCAAACCCATTCTCCCGTTCAATAAAGCGATAAAAAGGAGACATGAAAAGGCACAAGACACTATTATCACAAACATTTCTCTATTTTTTTCACTCAAACAATCGTGTATTCAGCTTCAACCATGAGCAAGCCTCCATTTCCAAGATCTCCATTGCGTCTTCGACCGCCTCAAGCTGTCCACTCATCAAACTCTTTCTCTCTTCAAACCCCACCAGGTTTTTCTTCTTCTTCTTTAAGCTCTGAATCTTTTATTTTATTTTTTTATTGTTTATTTTTTTGTGTTTGATTTGAAGCAGGTTCTTTGACCAAATCTCAGAAATCTGCTCTCTCTCCGAATATGCGACCGGAGTACCGAACTATATCGTGCGAGTTACGGGCTCTGGCGAAGATGGTCCGTGACGAATTCAGTGACGCGAATTCGGAGAAAGCGGCGGGTGCCAATTCTTGCGGTGCCAATTCAAGTGTTCTATTCGAAAGGGGTAGATTCTACGACGAGTATTCTGCTAGAAGGAATGAGAGGCTTATGAGAAAGAAAGGTGTAACTGCAATAGACGAAGGTAAGGTTAAACCTGTTCGCGGTCTTGGGGTCACAGTAGAATCTGGAAAGAAAAGTAGTGTGAGAAAGATAGGAAGTCTGAGAAAATCTATTTCTGCTGCTTACTCTGCCGGGCTAAGTGAAACACCAAGATACATGCTCAGAAGCATGACTAAGGAAAATAAAAAGCCTCCTCTCCCTGCAAAATTTGACAAATCTGTTGTGGCTGGAGAGAAGAAAATGGGAACAAGAACGAGAAGGATTTAACACTGAAAAGATTTCTTTTCTTTTTGGGAGGGGAGATTGATTTTATTTCATTTTATTTTTTGGGAGGGGAGACTGAGAACCTGATTTAATTTGATGGTTTAAGGTTAAATCTTGTTCTCTCATTTGGTTATATTTTGCTTTTTACTTATAATGGTTACTTCAGATCATCTTTCTGATTCACATATAATAAAATATATGATAGTAGGTTCATCCATTATTCGTTGTATATATTTTATTTCTAGGTATATTGCTTTATAATTTGGTTCATTTAACAATTAACAAACATACTACTGTTTCTCCATTTGAATGATATTTGAAAATTAATTAAAAACAAATTGAGTATCGAATGAATCATGAATGGCAGTAATATTTCAGGTAAAGTAATTCAAATCCAAGAACTGATAAAATCTTTTTCTTATTCTTTTAGTTTAAATCTTTCGTGAAGAGTTTGAAAATCAAATAAAATCACTTGTTTACAGCGCTGAAATCGACCGATTTTTGTTTTTCATTTTTACGGACCTTTTAAATTTGCAAGCCAAACTTTTGTCAAGTACTACTAATATGTACAGTGGAAAAAGATTTTCTATGTCTGCATCTTCTAGATAATATATACATGACGATTTGAAGAGAAAACAGTGTCCAAAATTTCATATCCAATTTCCTTCAATCGATCGCATTTACCTGTATTCCATGCAAAGGAAGCCAAGTAATATTCACAAAGTCTGTCCTGCATCTTCCTGTTTGTCTCCAAGTACCTGATGCAATTGTCTCCTCCACCTCGTTCCAATTTCTACCTTCACTTTCTATAGAAGCTGCTGTTATCATCTCTTCCCTCCTTATCCAAATTGCGAACTTCACTTTCTACAGAAACCAACTCACCAGAAATTTTTGCAACTTCAGCAGAGACATCTGTTGAAGCTAATGTCTCTTTCACCCCATCCACATTATTGCTATCTTTACTTTCTATAGAAGTAGATTCATCAGAAATTTTTGCAACATCTGCTGCGGCAAAAGTGTCCTCTAGCCCAACCAAACTGTTATTGCTGCCTTCATCTTGGTTTTCTTCCACTCTATAATATACCTATGCAAATTTTTAAATTGAATCAGAAATTGGCATTGTAAGAAAAATGCAAACGAAAAACCTTGACATGGCAGCTCAAACGTAATCTGAATACATAACAAATCAACCACCTACAGATAGAGATTCTTCCTTTCATATTCATCTAATTATTTTCAGCTTTCCAGCCAAAGCTAAATTCCTAATTCACAACATTGTTGTAGGAGATAAAATGTATACAACCAAATAATCATAAAATTGTGCAAATAAACCAGATAAGAGAGGACAATTTAAAAACAATAAAATAAAAGAGATTTCTAAAGGGTATCATATGTGCATACCACGCAAGTACGAGCAGGGGAGAGGACCTTCAATGAATTAGGGCGATTATTAAAATTTGTTTCAGGGACTCCTGGTATGCCTTCCGGGGACGTGAAGTGATCTACATCGTGCCCAACCTAAAGGAGTGGAAACGGTCAATCTCAGCCAAATATGAAAAATTAACAAGGAACAATATATTCAGGAACCACCAAATAGTAGCAATTGAGTTTTAACTCTAAAAATCACAGCTCTGTGCCATGTTTTTATGTCTCAACTGCCCCTTTCCTATTCCTCTCCTCACCCATCAGCCACTTGTCCTTCAATACCACTTTCAGGGGAAACTCAAAACAGTTCATATGATTTCACTTATAGTGATTCCACCTTTTCCTCGGTTATTCTCCAACCCCAAATCATTGCTGCTCACTAGTGCTACTTGGTTATCAGACACAAGCAGAATAGAGAAGGTTTGGGAGGTAAAATGAAGTTTTAGTGGATTATATTTTTTATTAAAAATAAAAACTTCAGCGAAGAGCTATTGCAATTTCAAAACAATTTTGGGAATGACAGGGTGGCATCCCCCTTGGGACTGACAGTAGTAGTTCCTTCCCTGATTATATATAATGTTCACCAACAGAGAGATTAGGGCTCCTTACCCTTCCATGACCTCCAAATTCCCAAGCATCACTATCCAATGCAACTCTGTACTTCCCAGGCAAGTCGCATCCAACTTTATACCTGCATGTTCATCGTTTCAGTACTAATTTCTGACTAGCAGTTATTATTACTACAGTAAAATTTATAAAAACCTGCCATACATAAAACAAAGTACAAATCCTGTTGCAACTAAAATCTCTTCAAACATAAATAAAATTGAACAACGTTGCATACCCTTCATACGTATTCTCTGGATGAAAATTGAATACAAATATCAGATCTCCTCGCTCAAAGACTATAACCTATAAAGGAAAAAACTATCAGGCATACCTTCTTCACATTATTTCACAACACAACAACTATATATATTTTCTTGAAACTAGAAAGCAGTTTTATTTTGATCAATCTTGATATAAGGAAATATCTTAATTAAATAGCAAGTGGCAGAAAACATCAAATTATGAATGAGAACAGTAGAATCATTTGGGGCATATTCACCTTGTCTTCATCATCTGCACTGCTCACAATCTGTTTTGTTGATGCGAGGAATGAGAATTTATCATCAAGCAAGTTCATTGCTCTGTCAAATGCATTCATGAACTGCACAAGTTCCAACAACAAAATCATAACAAATATGTCGGATAAGTATCACGTCTCTAGAAGAAAAGAGAATAAACAGGGATCTGCAGAAAGGAAAATCACACAGTTCCCTTCTTCATCACACCAAAATATGCTGAATGACACCCATTTGTTATCACATTACTCTGAGGAAAATTAAGATCTGAAATAACCATGCCTATGCCCTAGCATATCATTTTAACACCAAGCTAACACAGATATTCCAATCCTAACTAACAATAAATTCTATCTTATGAATTTCCGATATTGATGAGAATTCAAATGTTACACATATCTGTTTACTTCATTTTGTATCATCTATACTAAAACCATACATGAAAACGTGTTAACAAAAAAACTCCTGTATTGTATCTTACAGATTTATATTATCTTCGTTTGTTTAAACCAATTGAATAGGGCTTTTTCAATTTTAATAATTGGTTTAGTATACACAGGCATATTCAAAAGCATGAATGTTAAAAAAAATATGCTTCCTTCATCCAAGCATAACAACAATCAAGGATTCCAATGATGTTAAAATTAATGAAACTTTCAAAGAAGTCCGAGAAATAAAGCCACAACAGAGATGTCAATGTTGTGTAGGGTATATGGGCACCCCCAATCCCCGCAAAAAAAATACTACCACCAAACACAAATAAATAAATCAATATATTACCTTGTATCTCAAATGATCTGTATCCACCAGATTCCACTGACGTCTGCACTTCTCATAACTCCATCCATTGCCTTCTCTTGGGAAATCAATCCATTCCGGATGGCCAAACTAAAAATGGCCTCATGAATATAACTTAAAATGCTAATGCATGCTATATAACTATAGTAATAAGAGTTGGTTACTCAAAAGCAATTTGCAATATGTTCAATAAAAAAATCATGGTTAGCTGCATCACAGTAATACAGTGCTGTAAGCATACCTCATTGCCCATAAAATTAAGGTAGCCCTCTCCACCCAATGCCATGGTTATGAAGTGTATCATCTGAAAAGATTGAGATAACAATGACCCCAATGAAATTATAAAGCAAAAATAATTATGTATTTCTACATAAATGATGTAGTGCAGTGATTTGGTGATCAGATAAACAACCTTCTGAAGAGCAATCCCTCGCTCAACAACAGGAGAAGCATCAGCCAAGCAAGACATGCCAGAATACATTTCTTCGTCCATTAGGAGAAATGCAACAGTCTTATCACCAACAATGGCCTGCCAAAGGCAAAAGTTATATAACATTGATAGTAGAGGAATTAAAAATCAATAAATTCTTGATTAACTGTCCCCTCAGTTTCCACCATTTTTCTGTTCACAGATTTAATTTTGCTTAAATTCTTATAGTATTTCCATCACAAAGGTAACACTGAATATACAGTAGCCAAGCTCATACCTGGTCATGGCTTTCAGCATAGGAAACACATTTCTCAGTGTATCTCCTATTTGTCAAACTCCAAGAGATTTCTTTCATTGACCATGTGTAGTCATTCTTGTTCTTCAAGTAATCAATCCATTTATCAGGGATAGCCATGGCTAGACGATAGTCAAAACCAATTCCACCTTCAGAAACTGGTTGACCAATTCCAGGCATGCCAGAAACATCTTCAGCAATTACAGTTGCATCTGGCAAAATACTATGGATCAGACAATTAGCCAACATCAGATAGACAACAGCATCCACATCCGTTGCTTCGCTAAAATATTCATTATAATCCCCAGTAAATGCAATATTGATTCCATGATGATGATACAGCATTGATGTTACTCCATCAAATCGAAATCCATCAAAGTTAAACTCCTCGAGCCACCACCTTAAATTAGATAAAAGGAAACGAAGAACTTCCCAGTTGGCATAATTAAAGAGTCTACTATCCCACAACTTATGATAACCTCTATCTCCAGTATGGAAGTAAGAATCTTGTGAGTTTTGACCAACGTCAAAGCCATTGAGTCCATCGGTAATATTATTACTAGCATGACTATGGATAACATCCATCAAAACCTGCAACCCTAGGCTATGGGCTTTATCTATCAGATATTTAAGATCTTCAGGGGTTCCAGATCTACTGCTCACAGCAAAAAAATTCGTTGCATGATATCCAAATGATGCATAATAAGAATGTTCCATCACGGCCATCAGCTGGACTGTATTATAGTTATTTGCTCGGATACGGGGCAAAACCTCATCTGCAAATTCCCTGTAAGAATTTATGCGGGCTTCAGAGCTACTCATCCCCACATGTGCCTCATATACCCTTGGGGCCTTTGGCTTTGGTGGACGTGGATACTTAAACTGATATCTGATGAACATAAAAGAAGGTGAACAAATGAATATAATTTCATCTGAACATAAACAAAAGTTATGTGAGAGGAAAATATAGATAACAAATATATATATATATATATATATATATAAAATATATATATATATATATATAAAATAATGATAGGTTTATTGGACCCAATTAAGCAATTTACAACTATTACATCCAACAGACATTTTCCTTGTTTTGTTGCAAACTTTTTTAATGACCAGACAGAAAAAAGGAATGAAACATGCTATTGTGTATTGAATATCAAAGAAGTGAAACTCCGTTCATTCATACATGGATTCTATCATCACGGGCATTTGAAATCAGTATTAGTTTTTTCATCAATCATGACTTGAAGTGACAATTTCAAATAATGACATTTGTTGGGATTTTGGTAGTATTCATTAGCAAAATCAACTTACACTTTATTGTACAGTTTTAATTCATTGCAATTCAACTGAAAGCTATAAAAAATTTTGAATTTCCAAAACTGTAAGAAATTATTCAGACAATTTTAAATTCAGTTAATGTGTGGCATACATTGAAGTCCCTTTTAATATTGATCCTTCTTACTATTAGGTAAAATTAATAATAAGTTAATTAGCTTTTATTGGAATGTTTCTTTGGTGTGAAAACATTTAGGAAGTGATGTTATTGAGGAGCATTATTATGAGACTCTTTGGTTTCCAGGGAGTAAATGCTTTTGTGTAAAAGAAAGCTCATGGGAGAGTTTAAATACACATGTAATTTAGTTTTCAATATAATAAAGATTCAATAATATTTAGTTTCCAAAAATTCTTTTTTGTCAAATTGGAATCTGAGCTAAGGGTTTAGTGTTGAGATTTTAAGTGAGATAGCTAATCTGACGAATGTTGTTGCACTTTTGTCCCAACTGATGAAAGACATTAGTTATGATAGATGAAATGCCTAGATGAAGGCTCTCCTCACAACTCAAGATTGTTGGGATGTAGTAGGGGACGGTTATGAAGAACCATATACCACGGAAGGGTTGTCGGCCAACACTCTCAAAATGTTTAAAGAGAAACTTTCAAAGGATAATGCAGCTCTGTTTTTGTTGTTTCGAGTTATAAAAGATTTCGATTTTGAGAAGATTGTAGGAATCAAGTCGACATCCGACACATGGGACGAGTTGGAAAAAGAGCACAAGAAAGATGACCGACTCACATAGATTTGGCGTCAGACACTACGAAGCGAGATGGAGAGTATGAGAATGAAGAAGTCCGAATATGTCTTGCGTGTTGAAAACGTAGCAAAACAGCTTAATCAAAACGGAGAAGTGTTTTCAACAAAACAAATTATTGAAAAGATCTAAGATCATTAATAGATGACTTTAAGAACGTAGTATGTGCGATAGAGCAAGCAAAGGATTTATCCTATCTATGCTCAATCCACAAGGAGAGGTAGAGAAATACAAAACTCTGTTGGTTGCAAAAGGGTACAAGCAAAAAGAAGGAATTGACTATGACGAGGTGTTCGCCCCAATGATAACGATAGAGATGTTTAAAACAAATGGCCAATCATGCAAATGGATATCAAGTCGGTATTCTTGAATGATGTGCTCAAGGAGGAGCTGTATATTGAGCAACCACTCGGATATGTGAAGAAAGGCGAGGAGGAGAAAGTGTTACGGCGGAAAAGAAGGCTCTTTATGGGCTAAAGCAAGCTCCTCAGGCATGGAATGACGGGGTAAATGCCTATTTCAAGGAGATTGGATTTATACAATGTCCCCATGAACATGCTCTATATATGAAGAAGAATGGAGGCAATGTGATGTTTGTTGCTCTATGTGTTGATGATCTCATTTTTATGGGGAATAATCCTGGAATGTTGTAAGAATTTAAGCAAACAATGGCAGTTGAATTTGAGATGGCCGATCTTGGCATGATGAAGTTCTTTCTTGGCTAGAAGTAAGACAGGAGGAGTCGGGGATTTTTGTGTCCCAAAAGGCGTATGCAAAGGAGATTCTGAACAAGTTTAAGATGACCGATTGCAATTTGGTATCAATCCCCATGGAACCAGGTACGAAGCTTTCAAAATTTGATGGAGGAGACCGAGTTGATCCGAGCAAATATCGGAGTTTAGTTTGAAGACTTTGTTACCTCACAGGTACTAGACCCAATTTGTTGTTAAGTGTCAGGATTGTTAGTCAGTTCATGGAAAATCCGAGCTACTCTCATTGGAAAGCGATGAAGAGAATTTTGAGGTATATTCGAGACACCTCGTCTCTCGGATTGTAGTACACAAGAACGGATAATTACCGACTTGTTGGATACTCAGACAGTGATTAGTGTGGGGATGTGGATGATCGAAAAGCACATCGGGGTATGTATTATTCATGGGTAACACAGCGTTTACATAGCGTTTACCTAACTTTCGAAGAAGTAAACTATTGGGTACCAGAGGGGAAAAGAAATATTCACCTGCAGAAGCACACACACGAAAGAAACAAAGATAGAGGCACTTCTTACCTACATACACTAACACACTCAACAGTTTTTCATTTCTCAACTTACAATTTTTACAAGAACAAAATTGCAAACCCTCTCATGACACACAACTACCCAAGTCCCCAATACACCCAAAGACTAGTGTTGTTGTGGTGAGTAGACTCAAACTATCACCCCTTATTTATAGTAGAAGTCTATCCCCTTCTTCAAACTACCCAATGTGGGACTTTGGAGGATACACACTTTGGGCACAACATAACCCATAGTAACGTTACCAACGTGTGAAGCCGAGTACGTAGTAGTATCATGGTGTGTGGGACTTTGGAGGATACCCACACACTTTGGGCACAACATAACCCATAGTAACATTATCAATGTGTGAAGCCGAGTGCATAGTAGTATCATGGTGTGTGGGACTTTGGCACTTTGGAGGATACCCACACACTTTGGGCACAACATAACTCATAGTAACGTTATCAACGTGTGAAGCCAAGTACATAGTAGTATCATGGTGTGTGGGACTTTGGAGGATACTCACACTTTGGTCACAACATAACCCATAGTAACGTTATCAACGTGTGAAGTCTAGTACGTAGTAGTATCATTGTGTGCGTGCCATGCAGTATGACTCAAAAATCTGCTAAGCTCGGTGGAAGAGAAACAACTCGGTGCAACCGTAATCCGAATTGATAACAAGTCGACTATTGAACTAGTTAAGAATCCGATCAATCATGAGATGAGTAAGCACATCGATATATGTTTTCACTTCATCCGAGATCATGTGAAGGAAGGGGATGTGGAGCTTGTATATGTGGCGAGTAGAGATCAAGTTGTTGATATTTTCACGAAGTCACTTCCTACTGTGTTATTCAAGAACGATAAGAAATTGATCGGGGATGAAGGATGGTAGGAGCTCGGAGTGCTCGAAAAGAAAAAAGAAAAAGACATGTAGTCGGCTAGATAAGAGTCGGAAGTTGGGAAGTCAGAATCAAGCCGATCTCAAGTTTTCTTTAATACGGAGAATTAATTTTAGGGGGGTTTTGTTAGGTAAAATTAATAATAAGTTAATTAGCTTTTATTGGAATGTTTCTTTGGTGTGATAAGGTTCAACAAACATTTATGAAGTGGTGTTATTGAAGAGTATGAGACTCTTTGGTTTCTAGAGAGTAAATGTTTTGATGTAACAAAGAGTTCCTAATACACATATTGTAATTTAGTTTTCAATATAACAAAGATTCAATAATATTCAGTTTCCAGAAATTCTTTGTTGTCACAAACACAATGCATAATTAAAGAATACAAGTCAAAAGAAATTCAACAGGTGAATAATGAGACCTCTCTAAAAGTGGTGGATCCCAGTAGACACCATCGTATGGTGCTGCAAATCTGGTAGGATCAACAGTGGCATATTTGATCCAAGCAGGGATGCGATCAACCCAAACTCCATCCCCATGTCGGAATCTAAACTTCACTCTTGAATTGTGTGGTATAGCTGGATTTCCATCAGCATCAGGGATCTTAATACTCCAGACACCAAACTGATTTTTTTCCATCTGGTGGTTGGAACCATCCCATCCATTAAAGTCTCCAATAATTTGTGCTTCCCTGCATTGAAGGAAATATAAAATCTGAAAAGATTACTAAATAAAACAATGACAAGTACTAGACAAATATATGACTTACTGAGCAGCAGGTGCCCACTCTCGGTACACAATTCCATCTTCTTCTCTGTTAAATCCAAATTTCAAATAACCTGAGAAGAAAGGGGAAGTGAAAAGAAAGAGAAACATTATATTAAAGATGTCACTAGAATCAATCTAACAAGTTAGTGAGGCATTTTGAAAGAAATCATTTCAGTTGAAAGACAGATATGATACAAGACATGGATAAGATATGACATGAACAGCAAGACACAACAAATTTTAAAAATTGAAAGACATGACCACAACACAACTATATAATATAGTATAAACTATAAAATTAACATAAAACACAAAGCTCAAATTAAAAAAAAAAAAAAAACAGAGAGAGAGAATATGTTAGAAGTGGAAATAAATCATTGCAGAAATCATAAAATGCTAGTTTACCGAGTAGTTCTAATATTACCAATCTGATCTGCTGTAAAAGTGCAACAAATATAAGTTAAAATATACATCATTCAACTAAGAGTACTTGAAGTATCTGAAGTGTCTAGCAGGGATAGAAACACAAACACAGGCTGATGTCTTCGACATTATCAATTGATTGTGTTTGTGGAAATTTACATTATTGTAAGTTTACTTGTGCATGATAAATAATTTACTCCCACTCGTCTACCATGGACACTATAGATCAGATGGGAAAAGTAGTTAGGGACAGTTAGATCAATTAATTAGTTAGTTAGTTAATTAAAAGGGGATATTAATTAGATAAATATGGAGAATAACCCTGAAGTTTTCATCCATAGTTCTATCCTATTCTTAATTTCTCAAGAAAACTGTTGTTCCCCCTGTTTATATAATTTTTTCAGTTCTCTATTTAGGGTTCATAATAGACACTCACTACCAAATATTAGTTGAGTGATATCCCAACTTTCCATGTAGTTAGTAGTTGGCCGCAACATCTTAGCAATCATCTTATTTTGTATGCACAGATATATAGAAAAGAAAAACAAACATGAAACAATGCAAAGAATCATAACCACCTTCTGCAAATTCCTCAAGACCTCCTTCATATTCTTCGATAAGCTTTTTCTGATCTACATATCTCTTCAGTCTATATTTGAAGTGATCTTTATATGGCTTTAGGGATGGATCAATACGAAAGATGCCAATGTTTTCTAAGTATTCTTCAGTGGATGATATTGTTGATTTGTCATCTGTAATAACAGCCACACCCTTGAAACGGGAGCTCACCTAGTTGTAGGAAAACACATTGAGACAACTTATCCACATGCAGCATATTTTGCATGTGTAAAACAGACATAATTCATTTCTTAAAAACTGGGGCAAATCTACCAGAATGGAGTTTTAAAACCGTGGCAAATCTGCCAGACTGGAGTCCAAATGTTCCATGTCATTTTAATTAATTCACTTTTATCATGCACTTCTATGTGGACGTGACATGTAGAAAAAAGGAAAAAAGTTTAACACGCTATGAAACACATTGAATTTGTTAGTTGTTACCTTTAATATGTTCATGTTTAAAACTAACTTCGGTTCCATAATAGAAGTTAGGAACTGCCCCCCAGTACCAAAGTAACTAAATTCTAAAAGAAAAATGATTTCAACAAAAGCTACTAGGCATTCTTAAATGCACGACCTCCAAACAGAACTATATATCTGTTAGGAATTAGGACAGCACATCTACATCGAAATTTCTCAGGAAACATGGACCCTAATTGTTTAATTGTTGAAATAAGAGACATGAAACATAGTCAAATATACCAACCATCTCGTGTATTGGTCTTCTCAATCCAAAACCGAACCCATATCCAAGTGGATTCCGATAGCCAAGAGCAAGA